AAATGAAATATGAAAAAAAATAAAACAAGAAATTAATAAAAAAAAAACAAATTAAAAGAAACAAACCAGGGGGTATTAATGGGTCATGGGACCCACGGTAAGAACGAAGTTCTTTAAACATGAGATAAGTATAGACACAATTTCTCAGGTAACAAGGGGGTCACCAGACCCATAGGAAGAACGAAGTTCTATAAAACTAAGTACTGCATTCATGTAATTCACTGAAACAAAAACTTCAAAAACGAATAAAAAAAAATAAGAACATTTAGTTCAGTATTCACGATAGTTGAACTTCGTGAGTACTGTGTTTCTGCATGACGTACTCACACTATCGTGAGTACTAAAGTAAATTTTTAAGGTTTTGTTTTAGTTATCTACATGAATGCAGTACTTATTTTTATAGAGCTTCGTTCTTCTTATGGGTCTCGCGAACCCCTTATTACCTGAAAAAGTGTTTGTCTTCATACTTATCTCATGTTTAAAGAACTTCTTACCGTGAGTCCCATGACCCATTTATACCCCCTGGTATGTTTCTTTTAATTTTTTAAATTTTTTTTAAATTTTTTGTTTTATTTTTGTTATCTCGTGATCTTTCATGGTTTATTTTGTAAAGTTCCTGAGCTTTATAACGTAGGTGTCGATTTATTTGTCCAAAACTTCTTAGTAAAAATAAATTCTAAGATCAGTCAATTCAATTTTTTGCTATGGGGGAGGATAAAGTTTTTTTTGTTTTTTTTTTTATAATTAGCATAAGTAGATGATATTCATAATAATTTTTTTTTAAGTTAAAAACTTGAAACATAGGGATTTATTTGCAAATTATTAAAAATATTTTTAATTCACTGTTATTTAACGAATTTGATGATTTTAATATTATTTGCATCCTCAAAAATAATATGTTTTACAATAAAATTCATATAAAAACGATTAGTTTAATTAATAGCATAAAACTTTGATTTGTATTTCAGTTATCAGGCTTGGTCGTGGGTGGAATCGGCATTTGGACTGTGGTGGCGAAGCATAGTTATATATCGCTGATGACAACCTCAACGTATCCAATTTTGGCATATGCACTTGTAGCTGCGGGTGGACTCGCTATTATAGGGAGCTGGCTAGGCTGCGGTGGTGTCACCTCAGAGAACAGATGCGTTATACTCGTGGTAAGTAAGAAAATTTTATAAAAATTTTTTACTTATTTCTACAGCACGTTACATTACCCAATAAAGTATAGTTAAAATAAAATAGATTTTGAGCTTAGAACTAATTGATGTATTAGAACCATAAGGAATTATAAAAATTTTAAACATTATAATAGTGTTATATTACAAACTAAACCGTCCAGTTTTTCAAAATAGTTAGTTAAGGTAGTTTTAAGTCAAATATTTATATTAGCTACTATAGAAATTCAGTAAATTATAAAAAAATTGTTGATTTCTTTTAATACAATAGCAGCATGTTACACACAGAAAACCCAAACTATCTCAAGTATAATCACATCTTTAATACAAATTTGATGAATTTAAGTGATAAAAGTTTTGTTTTACTTTTTTGCAGTACATTTTCGTTGTCATGAGTGTTTTCGTATTGGAAGCTGGAGTTGGTGTTTTGGCTCGTCTATACGAAGAACAGGTTGGGCCAGAGCTAAGAATGAATTTAAATCGCACTTTCCTTGATACTTATTCCTTAAGGTCGAAAGAAACTGTTGCAATTGATCAAATGCAGAAAGAAGTAAGTCAGTTTTTTGAATTATAAGTATGTAGAGAAATTGAGATTTTTAAGTATTGACACATTATACGTGTTTGACCTAATACTAGTCTTATACTTATTTACATGATAAACAAAGTGTTATAAAACTTTTTATGAAATCACGTGGATGACCATTCAAAAAATATGTTTAAAAATAATAAATATGTTTTGTCACTTGAAAAATGTTGAAAAACCTGAAAATTTTAAATTGTAATTAATTCACAAAAATTGATGGATTAAAAATGTGTCGTCATGGCTTTTATTTGCCACTATTCTGTAATGAACTTACGTATTTGAGCTTAAAAAATTTTCTTAAATTAATCACTACTTTTGATACTTTTACTTTTGTGGACACTCTGGTACAATTATACTGAGCATTATATTTATAAAAATTATTTAAAACACTATTATTTTTGTACAATTAAAGTACATGTCTTAACAGAAAACAGTAAAAAACTGAACCGACTTTAGGTCAAAAAAACTAAGTGATACATTTTTACAGTTCAAATGCTGCGGAGCTGTGAGATTTGAGGACTGGTTACTAAGCGAATGGTACAAGGACGAAGAAGTGCAAAAGAATGGTAGCCTAGTACCGGACAGTTGCTGCAAGACACCTAGCTACCTATGTGGAAAACGAGACCATCCGTCAAACATACAATATACAGTAATAACTTTTAACTATCATACTGCACTTTTAAGTCATAATGATTGAACAAAATCTTTATTTTATTCCTCATAAATCTTTTAATAGTGGATCTTAAATATATCAGCTGGTGACGCCCAATAACATAATTTAAATTAGGAACCTTGCAACACTTTTATCATTTATTGTTAAAAGTTATTTAACTATATTTTAAGAAATGGTCTACCGTATTGGGTTATTTACCGTATTTTTTTATTGAAGACTGCAAGAATAATGACACATGAATTTTTCCTCTGATATAGTTTAACGGGTTGAGAAATAATGGCGAAAAGGTCTGAAGATTTAAAGGCTTTAACGTGACATTTACTTTTATGATTTGTTTTCTTTTTACAACATTGAATCGGAAAATTTTTTTAGCTCTTTACCGTGAAACCATTTCATAATCCATTTTTAACTACTGAAGTAGTTTGAAGAACAAAAATCCATACACATCTCTTAGTATGGTTATTTCATTACATTATCTTATTGAAAAAAAAAAAACCAAGATCAACGTTAGAGGCAGTCTATAGACCCCTTCATTAAAATAATCTTCCTCGCTAGTTACGTTACTTTGCTTGTGCAACTTTATTTTTTATTTATTGACACTTGAAAAATCAACGTCAACTCCTCTCTTTTTGCTAAAAAATAGCAATTTTGAAATTAATAATGTTAAAAAGTGATAAAAATACCAATGTGCGAAAATTTTTTTTTGAAAAACTACCTACAAGATAGAGATGCACCACGATACCAAACCAGGAATCTACGCTGTTAAAGTTTGAACACCTTATTCTAAAATCAATGTACATCTTCAAGGAGTTTTGAAAAATACGAAATTCAGTCATCTCCCGTTTACATACTAAATATAGAATTGAATAACATTCGAATAAGTAGCTACTTATAAACTCTTCTTATTTTGAATTCTTCTCTCAAAAAACTTCATAACAAGGACTAAAACTCCCACCCCTCGCTTTCCCAGGGCTGCATCTACAAGTTCATCGAAACGACGAAGGATCACCTGATAATCCTGGGCGCGATCGGCCTCGGCCTGTGCGTCCTCGAAGTGTTCGGCATCGTGCTCGGCTCCTGCCTCTACATCAAGCTCAGGCACGACTTCGACGACTGAGAGCTGCTTTACGCCGAGGCGAACAACAACAGGCACTCCTGGTGCCGCTACCCTCAGGAGCCCGCCTGATAGAACGCCAGGTAGTAGTGCGATTCCTCTCGGTCCCTCTAGATCACTCGCTCATTCGGGGACTGAGAGCCAAATGAAATCGCGCTACTACTTTTGTTCACGTACGAATAGGCATACGTACAAGCGCATGTATGTGTATACGTTTTTGCAAGATTAGTTGATTCTGGGTTGCTTTGTTTCGATGGATAACCCAGTGTCAACCGTATTGACAAGTTTGTAAAATTATTTATCTATTTATTGAACGAATATGCCATCGAAGGTAAAAGTCACTAGTGGTTTCGAGAACATTATAATTTGCTTGTATTGATTCGGTTTTAGTACGAGCATTTTTTAGGTGTAAGACTGTAGTTTTAGATGTGGCAATGGTATACGTATTGCTCTCCTCTCCTATATTTTACATGGCTTTGTCTTTTATCAAAAATCTATTGAGGTTAACATCGAAAGCAGCTTTTTTAGTTTCTTTGTAAATAATGTAGCAAAACTATATTTATGGATGTATATGATTAGAGAATAAAAAATATATATACGAAGAGACCAAAGTTTTTAAAAAACTTGAGAGTATTTTCTTAAGCAAATCAGTTCTACCGAACTTCTTACTATACGTCTGGTGTAAGAAAAATATATAAAATCATGAATGAAAATAAACTGCATAATGTTTAGCCGAAGAAGCAACAAATCGATACGAATTAGTGTAAAAAATAATATGTTTATACTAAAGTAAAGGGTAATTGTTCAACGTTATTTTAGAATTTGAAAATAAATAAAATTACTTTTACCTTGTGAGATCACAGCCTATCAAACTGTACGAGGGTTTTTTTTATAATGAACCTGATACTGCCTGGGGTATGCTTCTTCATTCTAAAGATATACGCTTTGTAACTGTTACGCAAGTTTAAAAAAAATGTCAGTGAAATTACAAAAAAAGAGTGTTTTAGTCGTATACGAGACGTAACTAAAAATTAAAACTGCCTAATTTTTGTAAACAAACTTGTACTACCATTTATTTGCATAACAAAGAGTTATAAAAATGTTGGTACTGACTATGGAGTGGGCAAAGTTTGAATACGATTAAAAGCCATTGAATTGTCTATGGATGTCCGCACTAGTCAATTAGATTTAGCGAAGAAAAATGATTACTAGAAAATCAGCACAACAGAAACATAAATTTTAAAAAGTTTCCTTATTTTTTGAAAACTGCTCTGATTTTTTTATGTACACTATGGACTAATTTCTGTGAAAAATATGAATAACTGAACTATGATTCCTACTTCAATGGATCGACGTGAAAAATAGATACGGAACCGTTACCTTTGCCAGTACCTTTTTTATATTTGATACTAACATAATCATGTACAAAGAGTAAAGCATTTTTGACAAATGCTCGATTTTAATGTATGCATGTAAAAATTTTCCATGTCAAAATTTAACGACAGCGTGTAATAAGCTATAAAAAAAAAACTGCACACAGTGCCTTGGAAAATTATGCGAATTATTATTCTAGCACATTTATTTAGTTGTAGTCTACGAGTCAATGTCCAATTAATGGCAGATGCGAGAGAAAAAATCAAAAATACTTTTATCCGATCAATTTTATTGTCATTTGAATTCAAATGTTAAAGTACTCCAATAATTATTTCAAGTTCCATCACCGTTTTTGTAGTAATACGAAATCATGAAATTTTGATAATTAATCGATAAGAATTTTCAAAGCTTTTGTATTAAATTTTTATGAAACAATTATGTAAATTGCTACGAGTAGTTCGGCGTGCCTAATAAATCCTATGAGAAAGTTTATACGTATTTTGTTACTATTATTCTTATTCTTACTGTTATCAAATTTATCATGATATTACACGGATACTATCATACACATATTGAAGTATATGAAATGAATCATTTATTATTTAGTACTTAGAGACAGTATGTACATATCAATTCCTATTCTGTTATGATTAAAAAATGATTAACAATATTGGCGTCTAATTCATTTTCTCCCTTATTTTGGCTCTTACCCTATTAAATATATTTCCATAAAGATCTTAGCTATCGCATTAAATTTTTTTGGTTAAAACTCCATGGCGCACATAGACGAATATTTTAAAAATTTGTTATGAACATACAAGAACAATAAACAGTAACCATTCCAAACAATGACAATCCAAACCGTATTTTGAGCTAACCAAATATTCAAAACACTCGTTTATCAAGGCTTGAAAAGTCTCTTTCATAACAGTTCCTTATCCCTATAGCTTGATATTGTTGCAGTGATAGAAATTTGAAGTTGCTGCAGTAGGTTTTCTTTTCAGAAGTTTAATATGGATTTAAAAGAACAACTGTCTCGTTTAGAAAGCAACATATCGGGTCTTAAAGAAGTACGTTGATTCTTTGTTTAATATAAAAATTAAAATACGCTGTTCATTAAAGTTTATTTATTGATTTGAATTAATTTGAATTGATAAACAGATTTTAAATGATCGCTTGAAAATCGAAGGCCATGACCGAAGTTTTTTAGAAAAGGAGAAAAAAAGGTTGGATGCATTATCGCACTCCATGAAACGTAAGAAAAATTCTACAACTAGCAAGAAAAAGGTGTATTTCAAGGATAAATAATACTCCTTTACCTTTGTATTCTTTCAATTATTTGTGGATAATGGATTAATGTTTCTGTAACGTTCTAAAAGTAAAGATAAAAACAACAGAAAGACAATAACAAAGAGACTTCTATTTTAAGTACATAAAAAAGTAATGTATAAGTTTGAGTCACATAATTTATTAAAATATTGACAAATGGCAGTTAAATTTGATTAGTATTTTGTAGTATATTGAACATTTTCTCCTAAACCTAACCGTCTACGGTAATCACACGGGTCAGTCTGCATCATCCTCGTACTTGGACATGTCCTTGAGATGCTCTAAAAGCATATCCTCGCGATTACCAAGCGATATGAATGTCCAGCCAAACACGGCTACTACGTCTTTCAATAGAGTCATTCTTTGCCAGGTTTTAAGCTCACCGATTCCAATGCCTTCGTTGATCTTCTATCAAGAGATAATTGTCGTTTCATAAGGTACATGGTAAGAAATGTTTTTTTGGACCGGAAAAAAATTGAAACATATTTAATTATCTCAAGAAAATATCGCTTAATAATAAGGATAAAGGTACCGATACTAGAAGTCTTTTTATAGTGACACCCAATCTGAGACTTCGCAAAAAACCGATTGATCATAATTGATGCCAGTGGTTAGGTTCTACAGAACAGAAATTTTTAAATTTTCCTCTACTAATCTATTGTGATGTACAAAAATTTGAACAAATTTTCAATGTAATTCATTAAAAAAGTTTTGACATTACATATAAAAAATAAGTTGACGATTTGGAAAAGTGCTGAGGAAAGTGCGAAATTCGCCATTCTATATGTGAATTTTAAACTCTTAAATAATCAAAAATTAATTTTTCATGTGAATCTATTGTACTGTTTTTAGAAACTGATTTTTTAACGTTTTATAAATAATTATGAGAATTAGACAATTAATGATATTGTAAATTATAACGAAAATTTCTTTTTATTTCGTAAAATCTATGAAAATAAGATTTTTGTGAATTTGGTAGTTGGGTCCAATGTCAGTTTTTATAAAAATCTTTTTGCGAGTTTCAGTTTGGAGATACTTTAAATACTCAAGGGCCTAATATTTTTCATACAGAGTAACTACACTAAGTAAATCAATTCTTTGAATCAGAGAATTTTACACTGAATACTTTCTTTTAATTAAAAAAATTTAGTCGATTTAATAAAATATTTCCTAGAAATAAAGAAGAAATTTGTAATTGAAAAAAAAATTGATTGCACAAAATATTATTTTCCATTAACTTATATTTTTTTATTCATACGAAAAAATTCAACGGAATGGAGGTTAAAAAATTTTCTTTGATTAAAAGAATGAGGTTGCTCAGTCATATTGAAGAAGACAGTATAGAACTTACGGTAACGTCGTTATAAGGATAAGTGAAGTTACTGGAATTGTAGAGCAGCAGCGTCAGTTTGTCGTCCACTTTTGAAGTTGCTTGATGTAAAGAGAAAGCTGCGATATACAATGGAAAAGCTAAAATTGATTTTAAGTGGTACTGAAATATTTGACGAAAATGTTTCTTTCCCGTGTGAGCCAAATCAAACCTGGAAACAGAAAAAATACGATGCACATACGATAACCACTTTAAAAATTCGGAAACTCCATCATCAAAAATATTCATCTCTTACCTGTCAAACACAGAAATGAGGCACATGGCAATGAGAAACGAAAAACAACTTCCATAAATCTCCACCAGCTGCGAGTAACCACCAACAATCTCTTCCGAATTTTTGAAGTAAGTCTCCATCTAAAGAAAACAGAAAGGATTCTATTGCAGAAACATAAAACTTTGATGATTGATTATTGCAAAAAATTGTTTTCTCCTGAGAAACCCTCACAAAAATCAAATGCAACATAGCCATTCCTCCAAGCAGTCCTTGAAATATGAAACCCCCGGAACGCCAGATTTTTTGAAAAACGATCGCCACCTCGACCGGTCTAGCACTGGATGACAACGGCAAAGACTTGGAACCATGTCTTGAATGTTTGTCTTGTATTTTAATTGCACTGAAGCCATTCATGTCCTGTACATAAACCGTGCTGGCTGTGAGCTCTGGTAGAGGTGTCGGCTCTTCATATTTGGTGCGTTGCTGCTGAGCTTTTTTCAGGATCTCGGTGATGGGAAGTTCATTAGATTTTTCTGGAAGAACAAACACTTTTACTTCAACAATTTTCCTAATGATTTCTCTCTTAGTCTCTATCGTTTTTTAGAGGACATCATAGTTGAATGAAAACGGATTACAAAATAAAAACTCTCATAATTAAAAAACGAATTTTACAGGATCTTTAATATAATAAATTAAGAGACGTAACAGTTTCAAAGAGTAAGTTATATTATTTTCAAGATGTTAAAAACAAATCTGAATCTAAAGTTCTTTCATAACATTAAAGTTTTATGATTTGGTGGGAAGCTCAATATCTTATAACTATTTAGTAGCACTAAAGAATTTAATTTAAATTTGATCACGTATTTCAATTGCAAAGTTATGTTTGTACTAGAAAAAGTTATTATATTTTTCAAGTTTATCCTTTATAAAGTAGTGCAGTTACAAATGTATTGCTTTAGTCTTTTCATTTAAAACAATTAATTATATAGTCCTGGTTGAATAAGAATGCATATCTCGTTAAGTAGTATGATTACCAGTTTCTATTTGCAGCTGATGTTTTTTCCTTCTTCCTTTTGCGCTGTCCTTTTTAGACGACGACTCTCTATCTCCAATACTTTCGTGAGAATTGCTCCCACTCATTCTCGTGGATTTTCTGTTCTTTCTAGCTTTTTTGCGACCGGGCTTACTACTCCTCTCTTTGTTCGAGTGTGCTTCGTCGGAAAATATATCTTCAGTACTGTCCTCCTTTGATTCTGACGATTTGGCCTTTTTCTTATTGAATATCTCTTTTCTACGTCCAATATCCGAAAAATAATCTTCGGTATCGTCGTCCGTCTTTCTATCCTTTTTCGCGGAATGTGACGACCTTCTAGTCTAGGCATTTCAAAAGTATTTGATATAACTTTATATTTCAAATGTAAGCTTAAAATTATTTAAAACAGAAATTTTTCTCATAGTACTGAGCTATCAAGGTTGCCAAACACCTGTTAAGTTTAAAAACAATACTATTTTACATACATATTACGGTTTTTATCAAGGTTGGTAATGTAAGGACTTGATAAAAATAGAGTGATTGTATTAAATCCACACAATGTTTTTAAGTTCCTTATAAAATCTAACCAGCTGTTTCGTTAAAATATTTTCATCTAAGCGTACAATATTTCAGTGTTGAGTTTATCGCGGCACTACACGGAAATGTCATCTTGAAATGACCCTGATATAGTTATTCTCTAAGAATTATATAAAATTTGTTATTGTTGTGTTGAATAGATTTGAAATTAATATCTAATTTTTTTATCAAATATAATTGCAAAAAAATATTTAATAATATCTCGTGCAGTTATACTAGGCACTTTTAAGAACAGTATTTCTAAATCAATAATTTTTCAATCATATTTTAATACAATAAAAGTAAGAACGTTGCTGCTGCAGGATTTGTAAGTTTTTGTAGATTCTAAGACTTATCTGTAGATGTCATACATTTTATTATTATTATTATAAATGTAAGATATTTAATGATGAGCTTTAAGAAAATAAATCATAATTGTGAGAGCTACGATAAAATATTCAATGATTGAAAGAACTATTTAAATATCTATAAAAATAGTTCAAAAAGTAAAGGGGTAGGCTTTGGATCGGTTTATATTGGTCTAGTAAATTTAATTTTTCACAGATCTATACAATTTTTAAGAACTGTATTAAAATATTTAGTGAAATTTGTCAGTGGTTATCGAATATTAGGAATTTTTAAACTACATTTTGCTTTATTGTGTAACCCTTATTTTAAAATACGTTTGTTGTTCACGAAATTATTTTAATAAAAAGTAAAATTTTATGTAATTACACTTATTAAATACAATTTTGGTTGTAACGAGATTTATCGAAATAATTTTGGTTTGTTACATCATAAAATATCGCTCTTGAATACTTTTATTGTTTATAATTATTTTATGATTTATGGTTGTTTCATATCCATTTATAATACTTTATGTTTCAAAATACTCTATACATCTTTTATTAGCTTAAGTATTTTAAATGTTAAATTAAAGATTTAGTTAAACATTTTAAAAAAATTATCAAGCCTTGTAATATACAAGAATTCTCCAGCTAGTGTATGGAAAAGTATAAATCGTAAGTTTTAGTACTAATACAAAACGATACCTTTTGTGATCCTAATGAATAATCAGGTGAATCATCAGCAAGATTTTGACTTGACAAAGTTTCAATTTCGTTTGATACATCCTTGTTTTTTTTGTGTGATCGTGATTTATTTGACTCTCGTGAAGATCTTCTGGACTGCATTTTTTATAACCTTCATAAACAAATGTCTTTTTAAAACTATGATTTATGATACTAATTTCTATTATTGTTTTTTCTAAGAAAACGTTAAATATAAAGATTCATTAATTTTAACGCTATTAGCCATGTCAAAGTACGATTTAGAACCGAAACAAATTGTCTCTTACACGAACTTTCTAAAAAATTCATTATTTATTTACCTGTACTTTTTCAATTTCTAGTACCTATGACTTAATACCAGAACAATCTGTAGTTTCTCACGAATCTACGACAACTTCAAACGAATAAGCTACATTATAAGTAACGATATATATTTCTATGAATGAAACTGTCAACCATCGATACTAAAACTCTTAATAATTATACGGCAAGTGCACCTTGAGTCACTATTCTGCGTCCGTAGCAACGAGCTGATATTTGTTGTGACTGATAAGTGTGCCCAGCAACGCTTTTCCTTAGCACATACTTATTAACGGTGTCACTTTTTTTACTCTTTTCAGTTTCATAATTTTCAGCGTGCAAATTATTTTTATAATAATTTCATTGATATATAATAATGAAATCAATTTTATTATTGTTATTCCTTACCTTAAGTAAATAATCATACTGTTTTTAAACAAACATTTATTTACAAAATAACTGTAAAAAGTAACCCTTACGAATATTTGTTCAAACAGAAAATTTAAGATTTCCAAACTAAATTTTATTTTACGTCACATAAATTTAAAATGTTTGAAATGGCTTGCTACCGACATCTTTAGGAAAACCTTACACTTAATCTTAAGTTATGTAAACTGTAATTGAAGTTAGAAGGATTAAGACATTAAATACGTACAAAAGACTTTCTACCACGTTTAGTTTAACAAAAAGCAATAGAAAGGGGTAGTTCCATTTTAAAAACGATTAACAATGTAAAAAAATAATTAAAGTGGGCTCCTTTCATCTGTAGTAAACTAATAACGTTGATAATCTAATATTTCGTGGTGTAAAATATGTTAATGCTGTCTATTGATGAAGTAAATTACCTTGATGCATGATAAAAATTTAGAATTATATTAATCAGTATGATCAAAGTGGTAAAATCATTCTAAAACATCCAAAATATACTTAATGGTTGTACCGATGTACCATATGAATCTGACTATCGATGGAGCGAAAAGTACTAAAGTTTTTGGACAGATGTCGTTGAAGGTACCTCAAAATTACTGACTGTAATATGTATATTACATGCAAGAAGACATTCAATCTTAATTAAAAAATACGAAAATATACACCGTAAGTTTCCCACTGATTTAGTATATTTTTTTAATCATCACAATTTTTTTTCAGCTTATAATGATTCTGAATATTATAAATACAAAATTAATCAATACTGCTAAAAAAACGTTCTTCAGTAATTTATTAGTGAAAAACTGGGGTCAAAAAAAACGATCTAATATCCCACCTATGTATACCACGTATCTGAAATAATACACATGTATATGTAAGTTATTTCGTAAGAACTGCGATATTTTCACTCCCTAATTGAGATTTTTTTCAATTGAATGTTTAGGATTTTTAAATGATTTCTTTCAAGTTATACCAGGTTAAAACTAGTAGAAAACTTAGAAAATTAAAAAATCAACGTCTAGACACCAGAAGCCGCAAAAAATAAGAAATTTTAAATACTTCACGTACTGGTATAATGACATTTTGGCCTGTTTTTTCAACCTTATGGGCACGCAAAAAAGTTTTTTGACTCGATCTCAAAAATGCAGTTAGTGAAAATTGGTTTACACCGTTTAAAAAAAGTTCTGACGCAAAATAATTCGACCCATCGTTTTTAAACATAGCCTTTATGGAATACCACTTTTTTAAATTTACCAATACATATACATTATTAACTTGTACGAATTTTATGAAAACTATATAGCAAGCGTTTGAGTTATTTAGCCGTTTAACAAGTAATTTTATATACGGCCTACTTTTTACTTGAAAAAAATATTGTATAATAACATTCACTATGATCTTATGAACAAACATATGTAATTTCAACTTTCAACACCAACTTTTTACTTTTTGTGCCAAAACGTGAGAAGTAATTTAGGAATAGCCGATGAAGTAACATTCCAAGTTTCTTATCAGAGTAGCGTTATTTGTGTATGCAAATAATTTATATATAATTAATATATCCAACAATTTATTTTTCATGAAAAAACTGTAAATTTGATGGTTATCAGAGATTAATCAACTTTTTCTTTCTTTTAAATTTTTTTTTTCATAATCACGCTAATGCCATAATCACGCTATTCTAAAGAAAGTGATAAATTATTTCATTGTTTTAATTCATAAACTTTGTAAATAAAATATTTAATAACTCGTGACGGTTTCCCAGCATCACACAATCTGTTAGGTAAAATCTCAAAGTTAATACCATAACGAGTCCTAATCCACAACATCTTATTAAAATCACGTATAGGGAGTACTCTAAATGACAATTTTCTTATAAAAGCGCCATACATCCAAAATTTTTCTTGGGCATAGATTCCTCACAAAAGTTTCAGGACTAGCAACAAAACGACGCAAGTAGGTCGTGGCGGCGCTTTGGCGCTGGGATGGACAAGGCGACACGCTGTCGTGGGCGCACTCGGAGTTACCGTATTTTCTTTTTTTAACGAATCCTTTTTTCCTCTTCCTCCATTCGTTCCGAGAAAAAGGATCCCCAGAGTCGATGACAACGCAGAGTACCAGGAGGCGAAAGCAAAAACGAGCATCATACACGCGGACCGGGGTTCAACAAAGACAGCAACGATTACTTGTTTATCGAGCGCACATGTACACACATTACACGCAGCACGAGAAATAGATGCACAAAAATATAAACGTACATTGTTGTGTTTGTATACCGGCACGGGATGCACGTGGGAGCCACCACATTGTCTTCGATGAAACGAGATGTGTATTGCGATCGTTGCAATCATCGGCGTTGTCGTTGTCATTGTGGCGCTTGACCTACAATCCACGAACCTACTTATGTATACCATACGAAAATAAGACAAGCTTTCACGTACATTATACTTGCATTGTTTCAAGTAAGAAAAAGGAATGTGCTTATATATTTATTCGAAAGGGAGCAGGAATACCCGTGCGTAGCTCACTATTCAACTTTTGCATGTAGTCCCTGACATTGTGCACGTCTCCATGTCAACCGTCTTTAATCGCTTAATCTAATGATTAAGTTAATGCTTGAGGAAACAGTTGAGTAGTTGTCGTAACAATTAATTAAGTAACGTCTTAAGTTAATACTTGAGTAAATACTTAAACTCAAGTATATACTTAAGTAAAAACTCAAGTCAGTGCTTGCTCAGATACTTGAGAAATTGCTGAAGAAACCATTTGACCGGATACTTGTATAATTTGTTAACGAAAAATTTAAATCACCATGATAACAACGTGGTTATTGATAATTTTTCTACTTTACTGGCTATTATTATTAGGTACTAAGTTTTTGTGAAAAAAAAATTTACTTTTAATGTTATTCATGAGACTGTTCACATGAGACTTGTACCGCAACTCACAACTAAGCCTACACTATACGTAAATAAGCAGTTACATTTAAGAGAAAAATTAAATTCCTACATCAAGTCACAACTAACACACTTTCTACCTGAGAAAAAAGTGAGTTTGAAAATTTTTTTTTGATTGAATAATATCAGCACTATAATATCGGTTTTTAACTTTTCTTGTAAACATTTTCTTTTCTTTTCAGAGCATAAAGTAAGTTTGAAGGGCATACATTAAAACATGAAAAATTTCTATTTTTCAAGATCTGAGACTTTTACAGTCACAATTTTGTAGTATAATGCCAACTTAACATGGTAATGGACAGAAACAACTTATTTTACCGTTTTAAAATGTTTTTTTTTTTTTCATAGACTATCAGGATTGTAATTTAAACAAAAATTAATCACAAAAAAAATGTACTTCAATGAGATATATTTTTTTTTATCATTTACATAGGATGAAAACTATATATATATATAAGATGTGGCAGAAATATGAATCTGACTATCGATGGAGCGAAAAGTACTAAAGTTTTTGGACAGATGTCGTTGAAGGTACCTCAAAATTACTGACTGTAATATGTATATTACATGCAAGAAGACATTCAATCTTAATTAAAAAATACGAAAATATACACCGTAAGTTTCCCANTTTTTAATGTCATACAATTTGAGGGTGGAAAATTTTTTTACCTTGACGAAATTTCTTTGATCTGAAACTGTCAGTACTTAGTGATATAAAAACGAAGTTATTATTTAAAGAGCCTGATTTTACACAAACTTTCTGAGATAACTTATTTACATGGCTTTATAAATATATTGATTACTTTTTTTGTTTTGGAAAAAATATAATGCACTCCTGTGAAGCAGCTATGCCTAAGATTATGTTTGACGACTGTCATTACTCATTCCATTTATTATGAAGTACATCTATTATGCTGTACGAAGAATGTACGTTTTTTTATATGTTATCTATTTGACAAGTGAGAAAATTAATACTCTAAATAATTGATGTTAATCAAATCTTCTTACACGATTTCAAGTATTAAGTATTACGCTCTGATAGTTAGTTTTGCTTGTCAGTGATTGGTGCTTAGTTTGTTAAAAGAAATTTTTCTTTTCGTTGTATATTTAACATCTCGAGAAGTTTTTATTTAAATCATTTAAAAAAAGTGTATCTTGTATTAAATAATTGGTAACATAAAGATAAAATGTTGCAATACAATATAAACAGAAAGGTATGTGAAAGTACGCGAATTTGTTGTATTTTTATTTTTATATTATTATTTTTTTTTTTTAAACGACCAAAATAATCGTTGAAAATTCAAATAGAAGAAAATTAAGTATCGCTGTTTTATCAAATCCCCAGAGATAAATAACATTTGTAAGTATAAGAAACATTCAACCTGTTTTATCATTAGCTGACGAGTAAACGCTCACCACATTCCAAACAAAAGCCTCTTCGACATCTTCCATCCACTTTTAGCAGAGAATTCAACAAAAAAAAGTCCCAACAAGCCCATCTTACAAGAATGGCCACGCTCAGTGGGCGTCTCCACCCGAGTCTCTGATTTACGGCGTTTTAATCGCACAATTAATCTAACACCTTGTTGCAACAACACCTTATTCGAGCTCAAACAAGAGTGGAAGAAGAAGCTCAGAAAGAGAAAGGGGGAAAAGACCGTCGATGATAAAGTCAAAGAGCTGGTGCCAAATACGGCAACCGAGGGGGGAGGTACGCGAAAAATCGGCCCTTTAAAGCAGCCGGCGCGAATTGAGATCGATCACGCGCGAAATGCGAATCGAGCATATTTTATACACTGTAAATACGTGTGTACAAGGGCCACGAGTGCATCTCGGGAATCCCTCGTATCGACCTTTTCCATAAATAAAGGCGGGAATGAAATTGGATCTTTCGAGGCTTCCATAACCCGAGTCTCTGGGTGGATGTATATTTATGGGTGTAAACACGAATGATGCGTCTTGCACTGCACACACGTACCTACGTGTATGACTACCCACGGATACGTCGGATATCGTTTGCTCTCATACATACACCTGCCGTCCATGTAAGTATCTGTGAAGTAAGAACGGCAGAGAAGGAGAGAGAGTGAGAGTGTGCGAGGGTCGGCAAGGGATGATTTAATACGAGATACCGCGGGTAAAGTTGTAATGGGGGGTGCTTACAAAAACTGAATGTTTATTAAAGGCCGCTTCGTTTGAGGCGCAGCGTCGAAAAAGCATCAGTTAACGCTCGGGATTCATGGCTCTTCTCCGCTTTTTTCTCCATCCGTCCTATCTCGCGGTTGGCTTTCGATAGGTATATCGTGGAAAAGCATGAGGTTCTGCTGTACTCGAGTGAGAGATGGTAGTGTTGCTACAGGTTGGACGAGATATTTACCTTCTCTTGGGGGCGCGTGTTCTTGTTTTTAGTTTTGATGTAAATACGCGATTTTGAATCTATATACATATTTTATTTCAAGGTTTGCGATAAAATTTCGGGCTTCTAACTATGAAACTAAATTAGTCACTATTAGATCCAACTTGACCAAATACATCCCGAGCATACGTGTAGCGAAGAAAAATTTTTAATAAAATGGCTACAAAGGAAAAATATTTTAAACGTGGCATTAAAACTAGTCAAGTTTTGATTATGTGTTAAAAATGATTTTTTTCTACCTTCTAATACATATACATATAACGATCCTTACGCTTTTATAAAGGTTTCCTCGAACTTTTTCCTTCCTACATGAACATTTTCCGATAGCTCATTTGTATTCTCTGGTATATACACAACAAAGTAGCTATACGCTGTTGAGCCGAGGAAAATACTCGATCCCCTTAAATATCATATGTCAGTACTGATGCGTTTCAAGAGAATGACTATTCACTTTTACCACCTTCTACTACGCAGCTCTGCTCATAATATATTAACACTTATCGGTGTGTGTCCTGCAGATGCTTTTGTTTTACACTTATCTTTCCTATAATCTGTCTTTTGAATTAGTCACTGCCCGTTCGTAAGTACATCATTGTATTGATCAAATGCTTGACTTCGGTGTCGGTAAAAAATCGCAATCCATCTGATTGCTGGTGCGTGTACGTTTTCATATTTAACGTCCGTGTGGTGATGTGTTAATGCTAAAAATAAACAATGAAACTTATAATTTATAATATTATTTAATTGTTTTTGTGTAAATATTCCATATTCTCTAAATTATTTGATAGTTTTTCAATACTGTAATACAATTTCAGTATTAACACATTTATGTAATGCAAAAATGGATGTATTGTTGCGGTCTCTCTCTCTCTCTCTCTTTGTTTCTTACTCTCTCTCTCTCTCTCTCTCTCTCTCTCTCGCACGCACAGTCACGTATGAGCGTTCTTTTGTCATAAGTGCTCTAAAATTATGGGAGGAGATTCCTGGGTCTGTGAAATTGAAGGTCACTTACGAATCTTTCAAAGTTGCGCTTTTCGAACATTTTTTTAATGATTGATTTTAAGAATTCACTATAAATGTTGAGATAGATTTTGAAGCATATATACTTACATATACATATACGAACTCGCGGGTATACTTACTGGACATACAGTAATTTTAATTTATGTATTTTATATTGACAGATAATTTTATATTAATTGTTATGGAAATGCGTCTCATTGATTGTTTTAATAGTCTGTTACTTATGCCAAAATTTGTTATATTGTATATTCATGCTTGTTTTGTATAATAATGTTTGTAAATCCTTTGCATTTTTAAATTGCCATACGATTTATTAAACCTTGGCAGTAATAAATTTGTTTTCATCATCATCATCTCTCTCTCTCTCTCTCTCTCTCTCTCTCTCTCTCTCTCTCTCTCTGGTTACTTCTTTCAAATAGGTTGAAACTATATTGTTCTAAATATTTACAAGGTTTATTGTGACGTATAAAAAATAACAAGAAATATATTACATAGTTCAACGATTTTCTCATCATAAGCCTCTTTACAGTTTCACATGTCATTAAATGCACTATTTGCCTTCTAGCAAAGACGTCATTCGTAATTTTAAATTCTTTATTTTACGAAAGCAAAGTGTGAAAAATTATTTAATATCTTAACATACAGGTATATATATGGACGTGTTTTTTTATGATATTTGAAGAAGTTTAATTAGGAGTATAAATTTTAAGTTACACTAGCTACAATAAACTAGTATCATATTATGTATCTAATGAGAATATCACTTCTAAAAAAGTCTTATCCATTTTTATGTAGTAAAAAAAACAGTAATTTTGTTCAAGAAACGTTTATTCCCTTAAAATATTTTTTCAAATACCAAATCGTGATGGTCAAAAGCTTTACTTGAATCAACGAAGTTATAAGGTTTTTAAAATATGGTATGAATTGAAAAAAATACAGTCACAAACCCATGGAGAAAATAAACTAATACGCT